ATGTTTCTTTCCCTAATTACAAATGCTCCAGAATTTTACTTCTATAGAGTTTCTTATTTTGCTTATAAAACTTATTTAACTAACATGTCTTGCATGAGACAAATCCCATCCTTGTACAATAATTTACAAACTATATGCATTTCCAACTTTTGCCTTAGTAGCTATACAATTCAAGAAACATTGAGTCTTGAGAATTAATTCAACGTGTTCTAAAGGCACATCAAAATGTCAAACTCTCTGAGAGCAAAGAATGGAACTTCGTTTGGACAGCTGTTTCCTTCACCCTGCTTACACGTAGGGAATTATCACATCTTGTTTCTCTATTCTCAGTGTACAAATTCAATTTGCCATTTCTTTCCATTTCTACAGTCACTGCTTTAGTCCAAGCCCTTGTCACAGTATTCTTGGATTATTATACTAGTTTCCCAACTGATCCTCCTTCCTTCAGTTTTCTTCACTCCAACTCATTCCATACTCAGTTTCCAGTAAAATCTTCCCCAGACATTTTCTGTCACAAAACTCCTGGCTCCAACGTGGCTCCCTATTCACAATCCTCCTCACTCCACCTTCAGATCTTTCAACAACCCAAGTTATTGACAGCTCATTTGCCTAATGTAGCCAAGGCAAGAATGAAAAAAATAACTCTTGGGCTAATCTCCTCAAATGCTCATCTCATATAAAGCCTATCTTAATGGGACATGGGTTCTTTCCACAAGTAAACAATAACTGAGTCAGCGAGTAGAGAATTAGATGGCATATCTATCCAACTAATTATAGATTTTTCTTCTCTACTCAACTCCATGGATGAGCCAGAGAAATCCAGAGCAGCCTAGGGAGGAGAAATTAAAACGATAAAATAGTAAAAATTGCCAGCTGGGTTAAAATGGAAGTTTCCATTTCTCTTTCCCCATGGCAGCAGCATAAAAACTAATCATGCTTTATTCTTAAGGAGAGTTTATGCCTCTAAAGAATGGAGGAGATGCCCAATAGTTTATATCAGATGCTTATTCTTGAGAGCCATAAAGATGCATATAGTGTCAAAGTCATAAGTGTGGGTGGCAAGTTAAGAAACAGAGGTAATTATCACAAGGCATTTTGATTTCTAGTCCAAATTTAAATTTTGCAATAACCAAAGGACATACAAGGGAAATGAGAATCCAAGAATTACCTCTCAGTCCTTACTTCGGAAGAGCTTGTGATTCTCCTGACGCCGAACTTTGTCCCATTTCCTTGGGTTTCTGCAATGGCACCACCCACCAATAGTCTCCAAACCATGTCATGATATTTGCTACATGTCTCCTTTTCTTTCTCTATATCCAAACTGTCACCCAGTCCTTTCAGTTTTCTTTGTCAGGTGTCCTAGATTTCCT